CCTGGGCTCGTGTGGGCTTCTTGGTCAGTGTTGCATCTTTGGCCGGTTGACTGTAAACATCCTCAATCTTGACCTGCGGGCAATCTTCCTGAAGGCGGGTTTCCAGAATGTCTTTGGTCAAACCTTGATGCATTCTGGCTCCACACGCGGTGCATTGATAGCCACTTCGATGAGGCTCCCATCTATGATGGTTGTCCGCCCAGCTTTCAGCACATTGTTTCACCAGGTCCCTCTTGTAGTGCTTGGTGCGTTTGCCTTGGTGCTTGGGTGCTTTCTGGTGAATGTAGTGGTGTGGGTCATCATAGATCTTGGCCAGTCTCTGAACCGCATGGGTGTAGATTTGCTTGTGGTCGGAGTCTAAGATGTTTTGCCATTCCTCCTGCTTTGGATTCTGGAATTGCTTGGAGCGCTCCCATGCAGCCAGGGCTGAGTCCCTTTGTCTCTTCCTGAGCTGGGGTTCATTGCCTGGTGCATCTGGTGTTCTGGTTTGCCGAGGAATGTACAGCACTGTGATGCGGTTGTAATCCTGGTCCGTGATGTCTTCCAGGATGTCTTGGAAAGCAGCTCTGCTGCGGGGCTGGTGCCACACAGTGGCGATTTGAACAATGACTTTGGCTGGTGTGGAGGTATGTTTGGCCAGGGCCACCACGCCTGCCAGCAAAGCTCTGGCCTTGGTTTGGTCTCCAGTGTGAACCCCAGTTAGTGCTCCAAGGCGTTTCAGTTGGCCTAGGGCCATGGTGTGGGCGCATAGCCCGAACACCCACATCTGGGTTCTGTCGTCGTAGGAGGATGGAGTGGCATCCAGTGTGTAGGCCCATCCGCTGTATGGTTGGGATGCTATGGTGGCCAGGTCAGCCCAACATCCATGGCCTTGGTATGGATGGTCTTGTTGCCTGTGCTCTTGGGGCTCTAAGGGTATCCAGCCAGTGGACCACAAAGGCTCTTCTTCCTTGGATGTGATTCTTTCCTTCCATTCAGGCGGCATTACTTCATGCTTTTGGGTTTTGTGCCATTTACATAGCCACAGGATGTGCTTGGGCGTGGCATCGGCCTGGCATAGCGGGCATTGTTTTACCTTGGTGGCCTCCCGATATTGGACCGCAGCCTGAACCCACGTGTTGAGGTGGTGTTTGCTCAGGGAGGGCAGTGTCTTCTTCACCTCATGGTATGTGTGCCAGTCAATGCCGGTGATGAGGTTGTGATGGAAGGGTCGGCTGGCAATTCGATTGGTGCGCTGGTTTTTGGCCTCCGTCAGGAGGATCTTCTCCACCTTCCACCAAGGTTGTTGCAAGTCCAGGTCATTGCTGAGCATGAGTGGTGTTTCTGGCCTGGTCCATCTCCTCAGATTGTTTGCTTGCCATCCCCATTCCTTGAGGTAGGTGATGGCTGCTGCCATGGGCCCGCGTACGGTGTACCACGGGTACTGCTTGGTGTGGAGCTGGTGATAGGTGGTTTCCCAGGCCTGTTCCAGTGCAGCCAGTTGTTCTGTGGGCCAGGCTTGGATGAGGCTGTGGATGGCTTTGATGTGGTGATAACGACTTGATCTGCCGGGTCAATGTACTTCTTTTGGTGGAGGTCGTAAGTGGTGTCCAGCAGCCCTCCACCATGGTGCCCAAGATGTTTGGCCATGGCTTGTCTTAAAGCCTGCCTGTAGCGTGGGGCCAAGCCTTGTCCTTCGACCCCCCAGAGTGCCGCTGGTTGGATGCCTCCTCGATGAAGTCGTAACCTGATCTTCAAAGTGGGGATTCTCAAAGTGCGGAGCTTGACCTTTCTTTTGTGGGCTTTTGCCAGTCGTTGTTTCATGACTGGAATCCGCCGTCTTCTTGCCCCTTGGCGGTCCACTCCAAGATCCCGCATGACAGTCTCCACTGGTGGGTCGTCTGGCTGAAGGAGGCCTCGGAGAGCTTTGTGGCAATGAAGGCTGTTTTTTGTGGATTGACTTTGAGGCCCAGTTCAACAAGTCTGCGATGCATGTCATGGTAGGCATTGACTACCTTCTGTGCTACTGCCATGGGCGTTCGTCCAGCCGTGTCAAAACCCACATCGTCGACCCAGCTTGAGAGGTGCACCTCTGGGTGTTGAGCCTTCCAAGGCTGGAGCGCTGGTGCCAGCACAGCCTTGGCCAGCAAGGGTGCTTGGGGGCATCCAGCTGGTACTCCATTTTGGACGGTGAAAAATGGAGTCATCTCCTGCTCCGCCACTATGGCCTTGGGGCCCGTGTAAAGCTGCATGGCTAGTTCAAGCATCAGGGGTGGGTATTGCAGCTGGAGTGCCTCTTCTTGGAGTCTGGTGAGGTTGATGGTGTCATAAAAAGTTGATATATCCATGAGGCATGTGACTCCATGGCATCCGTTGGCCTTATGGACTTCTTGCCGGAGTAGCCTCTCCAGAGCTACCTCTAGGACTTGGGCCCCTGGTCTTGCTCTGTCATGCTGCATTGTGGCTGGTAGTTGCTTCTGCCACTGGTCGAGCAAAGGCTTCCTTAGTCTGCACCAAACACGATACAGCAGGGAGGTGAGCGTGATTGGCCGCTCCTTGGTGCTGGTTTTGGGCAGCATGATGACCATGTGCATCTGTTGTTGTGTGGGCAGTTGTGCCTGTGTTTCCATGTCCTGGAAGAGTTCGAGAAGCGGCTGCAGTGCCAATGGGGGTGCCGTGCGTAGGAGTTGAGCTGACACTGCATCAGGTCCACATGCTTTGTCTGGAAGGTGCTTGAGAGCCGAGGCCAATTGGCCAATGGTTAAAGGCTCAAGTTGTTGTGCTTGTTGCCTGGCTTGGGTTTGCAGACTGGGTCGTTCATGTGGCTGATCAGTCTGTCTGATTTGCCATAATTGTCCCCAGTCGTGGAGCCTTTGTGTCATCCTCTCATCTGGTGGAAGTTGTCTGTAGGGCCTTTCCCATGCTAGTTCACTGCTTTTGAGGCTGCGAAACAAACCTCTGAGCCCCTTGGCCTCTCCTTGCTTCAGCCATTCTTTGTGTTGCAAGTGGCCTTCATCGTTGGCTGCTTGCTGTGCTTCTCGCTGCTGCATGGGTGTCTCTGTATCGGTGCCAGTGGTGGCTGGTGTCAAATAGTTGTCCCCATGTGGGAGGTCCGACCCAATGCTTGGGAGCATCTTGGAGGGCCTGCATGTAGCCACGGACAGGGCCAGTTTGCACTGTTGGCGGTTGTTTCATTGCCAGCTGGAACCTGACCTTGAGCTGTTCCCAAAAGGCTGGCTTCCCCTTTTTCCACGTGGTGGTGATTTTGGTGGGCACCAGTGGTTTGATGCTGACCCTCAAGCTGGCTCCCCTTCCTTGAGCAGCCCAGGGGTGCTCCTGGAGGAGGTATTGCTCGGTGCAGGAGATCCAGTCAGCCCATTTTTGAGCTTGGTCATTGGGTGGAATGCCATACAGCTCAATCTCGAAGGCTTGTGACTGGTAGGATGTCCATGGCCGGAAGTCGATATCTGGAGTTGCTGGCAATGGTGGAAAGTATTGGATCTGTCTGTGCTCTTTGGTGGCCGCTTCAATGTTGAGGTGCAGTGTTAGGAGTGCGTGTGGTCGCCAAGGTACTGCCCAATCTGTGGTGAGTGCCGTGGTGGATGCCAACGTGTTGTGCATCAGTGCATAGTCAATGACATTGCCAGTGAGAATGCTGTGGTCCGGTGCCTTGATGTCAAAGTGGAACTTTGAGGGAAGCACAGTGCTTGTGAAGCTGTCCGGGCTGTTTTGCCAGTCCCCCATGAGGATGAAAGGGTGCTTGGTAGCTTCAACGAGCGCCAGGAGCTTGGCTAGGATTGTGGCATTGGTGTCTGATTGGATGCCTTCTCCAGTCTTCAGGTAGACTCCCGCAATGAGGATGGTGCACTCAGTGGCCTGCCACAGAAAGGCCTGGTAACCGCAGCCTTGACAGGTGTAGGATTCGATTGGTGTCAGTCCACTGGCTTGGTCCCCAAGGATGAGGATGCCACCGGAGTTGCCAGTTCCCTCCTGGTTGACTTGAGCTGGTGTTCCGAAAGCCACCCTGCCTCGAATGCTGAAGTACTGGCATATCTCCTGGTGGCGCTGAGGGTCGAGGTGAGTCTCAACGAAGATGTGCACCTCACTTTGCCGGGCCCAGTACCAGTCAAGAAATTGTCTGCCACATGTTGTTATGTTGGCAAAATGCAGCTGGCTGTGCTCTTGTTCTAGTCGTGGTTTCTTCTCTGGGCTTGGGTGAAGAGGTGGGTCATAGTCCGGCTCCTCTGGAGGTGGCAGAGCCCGAATGACCTGCTGGGTCGTTTGTATGTATGTATGTATGTATGTATGTATGTATGTATGTATGTATGTGTACGTACGTACGTATCATAAATGTGTATATATATATATGTCTATGCTGCTATGCTGCATTATTCAAGTTTATTGCATATAAACAAAAGAAAACTTGTGTAGCACGCATCCTAGTCTGCGATGACCCAAAATCATTAATTATTAGTTGTACTAGTTGTACTGATCTTCGTTCGGGGACCATGCCAGTACAAATGAAAGTAAGGCAAAGCTAATTGGCAAGCAACAAAGAAAGGAAAAGACAAACCACGGAAAGGAAGAGAGAGAAAGACAAAGGCCAGGTCACAAAAAGCATGAAACTTGAAAGCATTTATGCCGCGCCGGAAGCAGGGGGAGAGAGAGAGAGAGAAACTGGAATGGAAAAACAGTTAATGTGACACTGACTGTGTGTGCTTCCAGGGTGTTCGGGCACATTAACAAAGGCAATCCATGCAGAAGCTATGACTGCCAGATAGTAAGCCCAAAAAAAGAACTTTGCAAGACTTGGCATAAATCAAGAAACACCCGACAGCGCCTCAGTACCCACACATCAGAGGTTGGGATAAGTGTATCCCGCAACAACACGTGCTGCCTTCACAAAAAGAAAACACGTTTGTAAAGCCAATATATTAGTCTAAAGAGAAAAATGACTAAGTACCCATAAAGTGATCCAATCTTGCACACCAAACTTCAGGGCTTTTTGTGTGCATCATGCATCAGACTGCACACCAGCCGGCCGGCGCAGACATGCTAGGGCCTCAATGCTGACCAATGGGACTGGAGCTTCTCGCAAGAACGAACCGGTTGAAACACGCAGTTCAATCGACTACCGAGTTTCAGATGTTTTTGAAGAGCGAGAAAGACTCCAACTGTACTTGGAACTGTCCCTGAACGGCATACACATATTGATGCGGCAAATACCCCCGGCCTCAATCGGAAACTAAGCTCTTCCGGCGTGGGGATTTTCCCTCAGGTCACCTCCTCGTGGATGCAAGATCATCTAGGCAGAGGCCGATAAACTCCTTCGCATAGGGAGTCCTTACTGCCTCTTTCTGTAGTACCTCCTGTAGCGCCTCCTGTAGCGCCTCACCACGAAGGTCTGCGCGTCCACGCTTGAGGTGTTCTTGTATTCGTTGCTCGATGCGTTCCCTGGGGCCCCGGCGCAAGCCGGGCCTCCGCTTCACCGGTGAATGACCCAGATGGCAATAGCCACAGTGATCACCCTTGTGACAACCCATCAAGGAGCTGTGAAAGACACATGGTTGACAGCTTCCTTCAACATGTGGCCGAGACGGTATGGATTCGCGTCCCGTTGTCGTGTGTGGGTAATTCCGTTGGGTGCTGTGAGTACTCAGAGTGCTCTGAGTGCCACTGCTTTCATCGTGAGTGCCACTGGCACTTCGAGAGGCTTTCGACCAGGTCTGATGACCTGACATCGTCAGGTGATAGGTCTCCGCTTCAGTTTCAAGCCAGCGACAATTGACATCATTCACCCACGTGGTAAACCCGGAGGAGGAGGATGAGGATGTTTCAGATCTCCCAACGCTCGAAGCCACGCTGGCAGCAGTGTCATCCTGCCTCCAGGAAGCAGAGCGATGAGCAGACATGCGATGCTCTTCCTTTGCGGCCGCAACTCTTCACACACCCAGCCCTATAGGGGTGGTGGACTAAATGACATCATTTAAATTTCCAAGCCCTGATGCTTGCTGAGCCCGGCAGCGGCGACAAAGAAGACAATGTGTCGTCTTTTGTTGTGTGTATATGTTATAGTTAGTATATGTACACAGTTGGTCTCGCAAGATCTTTCCACACACTGAAGATCACTGAAGCTCCTGCCATGTCCGGGGATGGGGCCTCGAGGACCGGTGTCGTTCGCCCGACTCTACGAGTCCGAGTGAAGGTGGTCTGCAGTGACCAGGGTCTGCACATCAACCGACTCGATGGGTCGGCTGAAACAGGGTGTTCCAGAAGAAACCGTCTCTGAAACAGCAAACTGCTAAGCTGCGCGAAGTTGCTCAACAAGTCCAACAAGTCAGTGATGTATGAAGAGCTCGAAGAATTGGATCGGAGATGCCGCTACTGGTTCCAAAGGATCCTTAGATCCTCAAACACTGGAGTATGCCCAATACGGTACACCTCACACTAAACGACCCGCTTCGTAACTCACGAACTTCCAAGTCTTCGTCCGTCTTCGTCCGTCTTAAGGCCAGGCCTCTTCGTAGAAGGCCACCTCCGGATGAGCCCGGTTCAGGTCCTTGTGGTGGCGAGAGGGGACGGTCACGGCGAGAATAAAAAGTCAACGAAACGCTCTTTTCAGAGTGAAAGTACAACACTAGTGCATTATACTTAGCAGATCCCAAATCAGCACAGAAAACCACGACCTCCAAAGTGACCTCCAAATGGAGTCTCTAATAATGACAATTTACAGGCCTTTTTGTGACCCCATGGGATCTCAAAAGGTCACTTTGAAGGTCCTTTGTTCGGATGTGCAAGCATTGGTCAGGCAAAGCTGGGTGTAGTTCAAGCGGACGTTCGATCGTGAATACATAGGAAGGGCACGAGGTGGTTGAACTAATTTTGCCTGATTGCCCTTCTTTGTGCCCTGCATCTTCATGATAAGGTTGAAGGAGTCCCTTCAAAAAAATGGGTTGTGGTCATCTGCTCTGCTTTGGATACCAACAACTTGGAGCTTTCCCGGTTTGGCTATAATCCTCAATCTAGGAAACGAACACTTACAGCCAAAATGTGGGTTGCCAATCTTAAGAAACATGTTCCAGATTCAAGGAATCGTACGATGTCTCGCAACTTTGCAGGAGTACCAGAAAAATATCATGTCTCAAATGAAGTTTCCACTCTTCAAATTCTACAAGGGAAATGTGATGTGACCGACATTAATTTCCCTCCATGAACCGCTTTAATAAATTAATGCACCTCCTATGGGATCTTACTGACTGGTGGATTGTCAACTTAAAACCAACTGCATGATAACTCCAGAACGAAAAACTACTCACGTACTCAGTGACTCAACCTAACAAGCCTCTAGAAAGAAAAGACAGTGAGCGAAGAGCAAAAGAAAAGAGTCACCGTGCTCCGGGTGTGGTTCATGGTTACATCCTAACAAGTCTCTAGAAAAGAAAGTGAAGAGACAAAAGGAGGATAGAGTGAAAGATGGACTAGTCTGCCAAGGTGGCAAACTATAGTGCAAGTCGGACGGCTCCGTCAGGAACGAGAAAAGGTTGCCAGTTGAGGCTGGTATTGAGCCGCTGTCGGCGCACCTTGAGCCTTGATTGTTACAACCTAACGAGCCTTTAGAAGGGAAAGGAGAGAAGGAAGAAAACCAAACGATAAAAAGCAAAGCAAAATGGTCTAAACAAACTTGAGAAGTCAAACTACAGAAACATGAGATTCCTCGTGTGAAACATTCCCAGTGGTTCGATACAGTGAGCTCTGCAGCATGGTGCAAAACGCGACGACCTCAACCTCAAAAAATGGCCCTTTGAGTTCGGAAGACCTGTGAAAGGAAGACACGAAGACCTTTGCATCATGGTGTCGGAGTGAAAAAATGGTGAGTAAAACATTGGTGTCGGGGATCTGATCAGACCCAGTTCCGCTCCAAAGCGGTCAAGTCGAATGAGAAACGACGATTTTCGTGCACTGCAGAGTGCAAACCGATGCATTCTGCCAGCCGCTTGTTGCAGTTCCCACGGGAGCGATTAGTGAATTCAAGTCAAAACATGCAGGTACAAGTGGTGGATCAGACCACTTATCCACCGAAATGCCGTAGCTTCGTTGGACTGGATAGGCAAATCGACTCCAGTCCCCTGGCGTCTTTTTGTACACACACATTCCTCCCCCGCCGCTCCCCCCCTCCGACCCACAGGTGTCTTCATCCGGCCTTGCCGATCCAACATTGCCGGGAGCTGCCAATGGGCGCCTCCTTCAACGTCAAGGCCCACAGTGAGGAGCGGCCTGCAGGTTCGGCGGCAATTCGTCGCGGGTCGATGGCGCGGAGCGAGCGCTGCGAAGACCGGCGGAACCCGCATCCCGCGGCTTCTGTACCAAGGGGTTCTGTGTCCGGAAATATGTTGGGAAAGCTAAAGTTCTAGTGAATCAAAGCCCTTCGTTGTCGGGTCTTTTCGGACACACGCAATGAAGACTGATGAAGACCTCTCAAAAACTTTGGGCCACTCTTTGCACAAGAGACCAGCTCGAAACCCACTGCTGTTCAAGGACGCTCCGAAAAGATACCTCCCGATGTAGTGCTTGTCCAAGCTTATTCTGGACGTCTCGAGGGACCAACTCATCAACATCTCCTCTGAGCAAGGGCTAGGATGCGCAACTGCTGGCTGCCCAAATGGGGAATCAGCTGCTGCAAACAGGTCACCAACTGCCTATCACGGAGGAGAGGGGCAGCCCAGCCCTGAGAGCTGCTTGGGCTACACAAAATCC